CCCACGCCCACGCCGTTTCCTTTCTCATTTGAACATTTTCTTCCCATTTTACTGGGGCCGGGGATAGCTCAGCGGTACAAGTCCCCGCCTCCCGTTTCACAGTACTAGTTATATCTCTTGGTTCTTCAGTACACTTTCTGTTCTCGCACTACGGAAGCGATGAGATATTTTATTTATTTATTTATTTTTTTTTGCCCGTTAGGGAAAAATAATCTTTCTTTACATCCACCTTGAGTTATTACAACCACACTTACGAACAAATTGAGTTCAAAAGTCACCACGTTAAACGAAGATTGTGTAAGCCAACACCATACCCTACCACAGAGCTAAACAAGTCATTAAAAACTCAACCACTTGTATCTCTTACGTTAGAATGTGCAAACAAAAGCCTTAGTACAGCATAAAGAAATGAATCACATTGAGCAAGTACTCGCAAAAACAACGACTTCCTACACTGCTAATTAAAACCCAATAAACAAGTCGTAGTAATTGAATTAAGAAAACTAAGAACTTAAAAGTCTACTTTTAAAACTCCATAATCAGCCTTGCCAACACAAGGCCTCAAAAAATTGGTTTAAGACTCAGAGTTGTTCCTCTCCACGGAAATCTTTAGTAAAAGGCGAAAGATTTATGCGATCTGAAGAGAAACCAGAGTATGGCACTGTTTTTTTGTGCCACTCACTGGAGTAACTACAACTCCTGTTACACTGATGGTGATCACTTATCCAAAAAAAGTACTATTTAGGAAAGTTCACTTGATTAATTCTTTACATAGTAGTCCATATTTTAAAAATTAGAAGCTCGAGTAAGTTTACTCTCGTGAAAAACATTGAACTGCTTGCAGTGCATTATGGTTATGCAAATGAAACCTGAATAATCACCCTGGAGACACAGAGCCGCCCCGGCGCCTGCGTAAAGAGGAAGGCTTTGCTCCCTGGGGCTTGCACACAGTCACCGGGACGAGATTCTGTTTTGTTTTGTTTTTCTGTACTGGGAATCGGGGATTCTGATTTTGTGTGTTCGTACCCTGGGCTTTGAAAAGGTGACTTCTTTAAAATAAAGAAGAGGTTTTCGGATTTGGTTTTGTTTTGAGACAGGCGCTCGCTAAATTGCCCAGTGTGGCCTCAAGCTGGCGACCTTCTTGCCTCTGCCCTCTGTGTAGCTGGAATTAAGCTCCCGAAGCTAAAGAAGTTTTCTAATCAGTGGTTCGGGCGGGGAGCCGCAAGGACCGCAAAGGAATGCTCAGCGCAAATTCCATTGTCTCCCATGGTGGCAGGGAGGTGTGGGAGTGGGAAAGGGATCCCAAGGAGCAAAGGTGTCCCCAAATCCTTTCTGTTCAATTCAGGGGCAGGTGGCAGAGTTTTAGGTGACTTTTCTTTTTGAACTATGCATTCATTACTTGGGCGATATACTTAAAAGCTTTAAAAGACAGGAGCCGTGGGAGCTCCCGCTGTAAAAATACCAATGATGAAAGAAGGGGCGGGTCCCCAGCTAGCCGGGGCGCTCTCGGCTTCCCTGACAGCTCCTGCAGAGGGTGTCCTGTCCGCCTCCACGTAGCCAGAAGAAGACCTCTTGATTCATGTTCTCTGCCCTACACTGGAGATTCAACCCAGGGAGCCAGGAGCTACATCCCCAGTCCTTGTTTGACTTTAAATTTGATTAAATAATTGTTTATTTATTTTATAGTACTGGGAATTTAACCCAGGAACTTCCCAGTGAGTTATGTCCCCAGGCCCCCTTTATTTAATTTTTAAATTTAGAGATAGGCTCTCTGGGCATGGTGGTGCATGCCTGTAATCCCAGCACTCGGGAGGCTGAGGCAGGAGGATCCTTGCGAGTTCAAGACCAGCCTGGGCTACAAAGTGAGCTCAAGGCCAGCCTGAACTGCATAGCGAGA